TTGAATCACCCTGTATGGGCTCTCAAAGAAAATTTACAAAAACAATTAAAAGGCAATCGAAATTTTACAGTAATTATTCAAGATTTATCAATATTTGGGGTCTTTAATCAAATGACTTCTGTTGAATTGATTATCATTGAAAGGATGCGATGTATGAATGCTCTTTGATATAATTTTTGATTGTCTGATATCATGTTAAGTATCGGAGCTATTGAACGTGAGGACGATCAGTTTCACAATTTTTAAAATTGGCTAATTCCGCTGTGCTGTGCAACTGGATTCAAAACAAGTGACAATAATCTTTAATTGTTTCTTTTTCTGAGTGGTTAAAAATTGAATAATGTTTTATTTCGCAGCCACCTAACTTGATTGATTGTGTTCAAAAATATTTAGTTTTGTGAAATCATCCACAAAATATCCCGAAACAAGAGGACAGCTTTGGGATATACAAGGTGATTCCTTAAGAATGGGTAATTTAGAAACTGAAGATTCAAATGTCGTCATTTTAATTCCTGGTTTCGCCATAATTCTGAAAATATCTGGGATAGAAATTTTAAATTTTGTGACGATAGGTTTATTCAGGTGACAAATAAGATAAGAAGTGTGTTTTAACTTCTGCGTTGCTCATAGAGGGAGCTACTTGCGACCGCTAATGCCCACATTTAAAGTGATAATTTTTCACTCCATAAGTGCAACATCGCATAGAGTCAAAGTCGCAAAGAGCTATACTTTCTACGTAAATTAGGTATTCTTGTTTTAAATGGATATTTCGTAGCTTCGTTGAATTCAATGAATTCAAGGAACGTTAAATTTTAATAACGCGCAAAACTAAGAATGTGTCAAATCACTTATTGTAAATACCAAAACTTCTTCGACTTATATCTTATAGTTTCTTAAAGTAATTGGTCAAAGGGACCACCAATGATACCGATATGCCTACACAGCGTTTTGTGAGAGGGTCAGGTGTGGAACAACATATTGGCTTTGACTTCGCTGGCAGTGACTCAAATTCCTTGCCACTATTCGTCACGCAAACCATTAGGACTTTTGACAACTCTATCTTTCTTCCATTCAAGGTCAAATTGTAAAATCAGATGGGCCAAAGTGCAGATTTCTGTGTGGCAAAGCAGTTCCGCTACCGCTTCTAATCCAACGATTAGGAAAAATTGCATCTCAGTCAGTAAAAGCCAATAAAAATATGCTGGAGCTACAGAGTGGATAGCTGCATTTTTATCCCTCTTTTGATCCCTAAGTGAAGCGAAACCTCTTCGCGCGATTCCGCCAAATTTGGCTAAACATATTGTAACGGAAATGGCCTGAGGTACTCACGTTTGGAATGGGGGATCGAAATTCATGGTATTTCAGTAAATGGGAGCCCCATTTGGGCCCCATTTAC